AAAAAAAAGTGACTAGGCTACAGGCTGGACAAGAGCGAATTCGTGGTTTGATTCCTGGCATGGACAAAAGATATCTCTTCTCCACAGCATCAAGACTAGCTCTGGGGCCTATCCAGACTCTTATCCAATGAATACCAGGAGCTATTTCTCCTGGGGTAAAGGGCCCTGAGTGCATCCAGCTCACTGCAACTACTGCTGAGGTTAAAAATGTAAGGAACTATACCTTCAATCTCTCATATGTCTTGATGGTGTGTTTCATAAGGAAATATTTGGACAACTGTAACTTTTTTTTTTCAATTGTTCTTCCAGCCCATTCAGGGCCCAGGCATCTTATTCAGTTCCATAATCATTTTTCACAGATGGTAGGACTCCTTGGACGAGTGTCAGCCCGTCACAAGGCCGCTACCTGAACACAGGACAACACAAACACAGAATAAACGCATACACATACCAAACATCCATGCTCTGAGTGGGGTTCGAACCCATGATTCCAGCATCCAAGCAAGAGAAGACAATTCATGCTTTAGACCACGCAGCTAATGTTATCGGCCAACTTTAACTTTACTTTTAAAAACTATAAAGGATATGGAATATAGAAATGATGGCCTGTTGTAAGCTAATTTTCTGTCATTTGCCTGGAAGCACTGAGATCAATCATGAAAACCCTCAGTCAGGATAGTTGGTTTCCAGACTGATATTCAAGACTGACGTCTCCTAAACATGAAGCAGGGTTGCTAACCACTTCATCTCTATTTTTGAACCTACAATGTGGGTAAATTCAGTTGAAATTTGTGTTCACATTGATTCCTATTGTATTGGCATTTGCATTGTATTTGAAGCAGCTGAGTTAACTTTAACATCATTGAGTAGCAGTACCTGCCAAAGTGGTAGCAAAACTTCTCCTATTGAGTCATCTCTGGTGATTCGATCATAGTCAAACACATGTAGCTGCAGAACCTGCGTCTGCAACTTTTCAATTGGAAGATCTGCAACACAGCAACACATTCTGTTAAAGTCTGTCCACAGCATATTGATACAAAATCTGTATACCAGCAACAAGTGCTCATCATAGAAATATGATTTGAAATTGCACATGAATTACAAACTGACCACTGAATTTCCATGTTAGTGGAAGTACCAGAGTGACAGAATCATGCTTTCAGATGTCAACCAAATGCTCCAAAATTCTCAGCAAAGGTCAAGTGCCCCTGAAACTTATCTTATGATCATGCCATTACAGCATGATTCTTGAAGTTAATTCTTTTCTTTTGAAAACCCCTGGACTGAAACTCAGAGTATTCTGAGTGCTGAAAATAGGTGTTCAGTAAGTATACAGGTACTCATATGTGCCAGATAGGGTTGAGGCATTTTTTGGTTATGAACTAACACATATTCAGTTTGTATATATCAAATGCTAAGGCTTGAAATTCTTTCCTTGTTGTGTCCTTATGTGGAAGTAATCATTGTCTGTAATTATGGATAGGAATGTGAGCCTGCAGTCAGTGTTACCTGTGTTGCAGTTGGTATTGAATTCTTAATCTTAGCCAAAAAAAAACCTTTATTGGTAGCAGGGCTATTAAATGAAATCGTGATTTGATGTACAAGAGTGGATCGTTGGAGTGTACATCTATGGTAACTGCAGCTGGAGATGACAGTTGTTTACTTTGAAAGTTTTGCCAGCTGGCTGCATTTGGGATCATTCATAATAAAGTCTGATGGTAGTATATATTAATACAAACATGATGGGAAGTCATAATATTTTAATTATCACCATGAGAAAATCATAATTCCGAAATATTGTTCCATATGGGAGATGGCCCATTTCCTGAGCTTGCCTAACAGTCAAATTTTCCCGTGCCAAGTGAACAGAGGGAGCCACCGGAAGGGGTAGAAGCAAAATGGCGACGTCGGTTGAGAAAGTGGAGGCTTGCGCTGTGATACGGTTCCTGCATATTCAAGGGAAGTCTGCCAGGGAGATCCATGATCAGATGACTGCTGTGTATCAGGAAGGTGTACCACCATACGACACAGTGGTCAGATGGAAGAGGCACTTTCATTGTGGACAGACAACCCCCAAAGTGGAAGACCATCTCTTGCTGAGGAACTGGGAATTGTAGCACAAGTGGAAAGCCTAGATCCTATTCGATAGGCGCATAACTATTGAAGCTATTGTTAATGAGGGCCGCATTAGCCATGGGTCGATTTTCAGCATCATCCATGGCAAGTTACACATGACGAAAGTCACTGCGCATTGGGTGCCATGATTGTTGACACCAGTTCAAAAACAGCAAAGAATGGATGTGGCAAAGGAACTTTTGCAGTTGTGTCAAGATGAAAAAGTGAAATTTTTTGACCATCTGATCATGATGGATGAATGTTGTTGGGTGTCTCATTATGACCCTGAAACAAAGGAAATGAGCAAGCAGTGGAAACATGTAGACTCGCCTCCACCAAAGAAGGCCAAGTCCCAGCCGTCATCAGGAAAGGTGCTGAGCATGTTCTGGGTTTGGCAGGGTGTCACCATGATCAACTACATGCAAAAGGGCGTCACCATCACTGGCGAGTACTACCAGAACCTTCTGAGAAAATTATGGGAGGAAATCCAGAAAAATCGATGCAGAATGCTGGGAAAAGGTGTGCAACTTCTTCATGACAACGCTACAACGACACTTGCTGCTAATTTGGGATATGAAATTCTCCCCCATCCAACATATTCACCAGACCTGACATCGAGCGACTTCTTCCTCTTTCCACAGCTAAAGAAGCCACTTCNAGTGATTCCAAGGCGATGATGACGTCATTTCTGCAGTGGAGGGCTTCCTAAACAGCCAAAACGAGACCATCTATGATCAAAGTATCCATCAGCTAATGTATCGAGGAAAATGTGTGGCCTTGCGGGCCATGTGAATAGAAGGACTAGCTAATGCAATTTCTTGCACCTGTCTCTCTGTTTCTTCTGGGTGATAATTAAAATTCTATTACTTTCCCATTTACATACAAAAGCAGAATTTGGCAATACAGAAACAACGGTGACTGGTGAAATTCGTAAATTGTCTAAAAATATTTTTTTGTCTCTAAACCAAAAACTCAGGCAGAATGGGGAAAAAGAGACGTTACGAGTTATTTTGACAGAGTTCATATTTATAGGCAACTGAAGAAGAAACATTCACTCTGTGTAGTGTCAAGGTTTTGTGTATATTTTTACTCTATCAAGTGTAGTATCTTCATATAGTAGGTCTTATCAGAAACTTTCGAGTTATTTAGGTTACATTATTTTAAATGGAATTTCTTTTGAACTTCTTGCCTTTGAAACTTCAATGGGTTTTTAATGTATTGAGGTATTTAACCCAATATGTTTTGATTTCTAAGGTACATTGATAATTAACACAGCAAATGATTATGTCATGATTTTGCCCTGCAGTTTGGTGACTAGACAGCGAAATATACTTAGTTATCTCTGTGTTTACTTCTAGACCAACTTCACCATATCCTTTACAAAATGTTTAGCCATTTCTCCAAGCCCTTCTGCTAATCTGGAACATGTACCTAACTCTGAAGAGCCATTTCCATCCCAGGAAGGGGGGTGATAAATGAGCTTGAAGGAACTTTGCATTGACAATTAANTGTTTAGCCATTTCTCCAAGCCCTTCTGCTAATCTGGAACATGTACTTAACTCTGAAGAGCCATTTCCATCCCTGGCAGTCACACACCCCAGGAAGGGGGGTGATAGATGAGCTTGAAGGAACTTTGCATTGACAATTAATAAGGAAAAAACAAAAGAAGCACCATCGTCGAAGAGGAGGCCTAAGTTCACAACAGGTACATGTCTAGGAAAGAATGAAAATCTTGGTCGTTGATTTTGAGGAGACTGAAGACAGGAATGACTGTGCTGGCTAAGGCCAGCAGCAGTTTAACTGACTGACCGACAATATTAATCATTACATTCCTATAAGGAAACCAAAAAGATTTCTAATTCCTGTGCCAAACGAAGAACAGATCTATTATATTGTAACAAATCAGTTAATGTCAGTTTGAGATAAATGATGCTGAACTCATTTAAAATCGTTACTTTGTTCATTATTCACAATGAAAGATTTAAAACAGAATAAGAATAAATTGGAGATACATATTCATAATATGTGTGTATACATGCAGAAGGGAAATAATCAATACAAAATGGCCAGTACTAGTTACCATCAGTAAACTCACCTACATCAACATGCATAGCTACCAAGCCCCTGATGCTCTACTACAAATGCTAGTTAGACTTCAACACTATGAATGCTAAGTCTAAATGTTTCTGATGATGTTCTACAAAAAAAAAAATATATATTGTGACATGTTGCGTGTTATTTAGGACACGTCTACCATCTTGAGTTTTTGCAAACATGATGTTTCAAGAAGTGGATCTGTTTCTGTCATAAAGTCTAAAGTGGGAAAGGTTCTTACTCAGAGGTGGCTGTTAGAGGCAGCTAATCTCATGGCCCAAAATCTATGGGAAACTTTCCTCCTTTCATCTGATGACAGAAATAGATCCAGTTTCTGAAACATTTGCTTATAAGAAATTCAAGATGATAAACAATGTCCAAAATATTAGCAGTATTTACTAGCAATATTGTATACATATTTTCCTATTGTCTCTGACTCCACTATGTTGAAGCAAGCCTACTGCATGCCTGGCTAAACCTTTTTGCCCTAAGTATGGATGAAATTGGTGACAGTGAAAATGTGATGATTTTCAAGTTCTGGTGACAGGCATTCTGCAATTTTGTCATACTTCACTATGTCAGATGTTAGCGGAATACCAGGTACTGATGTGTTATTAGATGGCCCAGATAACTTTAAGAGTTACTGTTATGTATTCTACCACATCAGTACTGTCTATCTTTGACATTTATTTGTAAAAATGAATAACACACAAAGCCTATTTTTAGAATTTGCCTGATATATGTCAACAAGGTTAGATATTTGTTTCTGGTCTCAGAATTAAATATCCGAAAACCTCCTCAGGTTAGGCTTTGTGTTGTGTCTTTACAAATATGCCTCTATGGTTGACAGTGCTAATATGGCCAATAAGAAGCTCTATTTTCTGGGATAAAATGCTGTGCAGTCTGTGGAGGCAATATTATGATACGAGGCCTGACAACCAGAAAAAGGGAACCATATAAACAGCCATTGCTAAGCAACGGCTGTGTAAACACGCAACAAACCAGAGCAATCATTAAGCGACGTATGCATGCAACAGTGGAGGAATTATTGGAAGCGGTGTTTACTATGTGGTCCATGCTGAGGCTATAGAAGGAGGCAAATTGGGCTGTTAATTCAGCCCAGTAGCCATCAGCTGATGGAAATACCAGCTGAAGCAAGCAATCAGAGTATGAGGCTGGCCTGAGATGTTCACCAACCAGCAAGGACGTGAGCCTGGAAGCAGAGGAACATCTGCCGTTGGAAGCCACTGCCACGCAATGTGACCGAAGACATTAGTCTTTGTCAGATATTCATTTTCAAAGTGCAATCAGAAGGTGTAAAATTGTTCCATAAATGCATTTCTCAATCCAAAACCCGCCTATCATCAATCAATTGCATGAAAGTATGTTCCTCTGAAATGTCAGTTGACTTTCAACAGACTACATGGCATATCCCAGAAGACAGAAGTCTACATGACCAACACAGTGAGAACCTCAGATCCTACAATGTGGTAAAGTTCTAAAGTTATTTAATAGACTTCTTTTGGCTTATTTTGGACTTCACCCATCGTCTGGTATGTAAAAGACAAAAGACCACGACATTTCAGAGACTGGTGAAGTCCAAAATAAGCCAAAAGAAGTACAGTATACACCATCGTCAGAATCCTTTCAAGTCTATCTTATTTAATAGAATTTGACAGATACACAGGTTTTGAGTCCCACGATTACAAGAAAGTGATTTTTGTTATTCTGTCAGTGTATATGTATGTACATATGGATGTGTGCCTCACAAACACCTAAAAAGCTGGACAGATTCTGTTCACGTTCAGTTCAGGTGTTCAGGAGTATATCTGTTCTAGGTTGGTGCCAGGCTAATGTGAACATTGCAGCTCCAAAAATAAGGGCCCTTCAGATGGATCCCAAAACAAAATGGCAGTTCCCCACCGCCAAAAAAGATTTTGATTAAATTTCAGTAATTTATTGAGATCATATCCCTAAATAAATACACACATCTACAAGAAAATAACAATATGCACACTATGGGCCCAAATGCGAAATGACTGTTTTCTTGAAGCAGGCTTTGCCAATCTGAAGGATTTTATTTTTGTTCACTGTTCAGTAGTCCATAATGGCCTACTGCAGGACAATCAATTTTGCTTCCAAGACAGTGTAAACAAAGTCAATAATGAAGTTATATGCAATGTCTTTCACCAGTGTTGTCCACAGTGCGATGTATAGACCCATTGCTAGGCAACGACTCAGTAAACGTATTCCCGTGAGAGCCAACGTGCGCAACATTAGGACATCCATTGCTAGGCAATGAATCAATAAACACGCCACCTTAAAAATAGAGGCTGCGTGGCCCATGCAGAGTGGTTATAAAGGAGTGTTCAGCAGTAGAGAAGAGTAGTGAAGTCGAGCAGAGTCGAGTTTTGAGACTCCAGCCTGCCAGGATATGTGCTTGGGAGCAGAAAAATTTAATTGAGTTAAGTCTTCAAAATTTACATTTGCAGAATAAGGGCAAGGAAGGGATTAGGCGGTGCAAAGAAGACTTCATGTGTGATTTGAAGTGACAGTGAGAATGTTATAAATCCGTTGCCAGGATACGACTAGTGAAGACTGAGAATCCTAATGCATATGTAACAGTGGAATGCAAAGTGTTTAAATCAGTGATAGCGCTGTACTGTTTGCAGTTGTGTGTGAATGTGTGTCTGTATAGGGTGTCAGCAAATCCAATCATCCAATCAAAAACCCCATCTGTAAGTCACCCCAACACATGATGATAGTTTTCTTGAAGTAATCCAGCATGTCCATGCAAATTATAAAATGAGAGGACTGAGTTATGTACACTGCTCCATTGCAGTTGATCTTGGGTACCACCAAGATATTTTCCAAGGGTGGAACAGCCGGAAAACGTCCTTACAAATATGCATATGATCTGTTTCACATTGTTTTTACTGAAGTCCCTACAGTCTACAGGACAGAGTAATTTTTTTAAAATTACTTCAAATTGTTATTACAAATATTTGGTATACTTTGTCCCATTCTTCAAATCTAGTTTTTCTAATTAGCTAGGGGGAGGAATGCCTGGCTTGCCGAATTCTTGTCAACACCTATGGGCTTGATCCCCACTTCAACCACACTTAATCTGATATTGCTATATACAAGTATTCTCAATTGACTGAATTAGAGCAGTATATTTACCACATCTATTGTGGAAGAACCAACACTATGTGGTCCCAGCTCACTGAATTATAGTGTTATAAACATTATATCTGACATGAATTACATTCCACTGTCTGAGCCAAGCTGACTGCATTATGGTGATTTAGACATCACATCTTGCATGAAAGAACCAACACAGTAAACTGTGAACATAGGATGACAGTCAGAAACAATTTTGGCAGTTGAAGCCACTATGAACTGTCTAAATGATCACACATTGTTTCTTAACAACAAATCTTTATGACTTCTAATAACATTTTTATATGGTACTTCACAAAGAATTCTGCAGGTTACTATGTACATTGATAGTACAGTACTTCCATTTTTTTTTAAAAACAAATTACTTCCTTGTTAATTCTTTCTTTCCTTCTATGATTGTGTGAGGGTTATTTAAATGAAACTATTTTGGGAATTATTCTAGATGAAATTGTAGAGGTCATTAAAAATAATGGGTTTTTATACAGGCATCCCATTAGCACACCATCAACCACCATTTTGTGATTGCCGGTGTGTCATGCACCCAACCATATGATCATCTCTGGCAGGTTTTATCTGCAAGCAATGCAGTGAATGGTTTCCATTTGAATAACCCTCACATTTACATATGCCAATTTTCTGCCTTAATATTTTGCTCCTTTATACATGAATCCCGGTCTAGAAACCGAAATTAATGGCTGTGGGGATTTGTTGCGCTGACCACGTGACACCCTCTATCCACAAAAGTTGGCACTAACATCGCCGACAAGCGGCGGTCGCTTGGTCGGCATAGTTCGCTTGCGGACTACAGGCCACGGAGTCTATACATCGTGAATCAAAACACTTGATATCAGTGACCATTGACATTGGCAAGCCTTAAACCACAATCAACTAATCATATCTGGGTTCATTAGAACAGGTCTGTAAACACTGTGACAAATTTTCCAAATCTCCACCGCTATTCCTCAATGTGACATTGAGACACTGCCCTCAGCGTAGTTACCAAATTTTAATTCCTCACAAAATAAGGCATTGTAACAAATTCATTGAATCAGACTAGCTCTATAGTTAACAAGGTCGCAGCCAAGGCATGCTTGAATGTGCAGCTTCATGCACATTGCCCTGAACAACAGAACTTCTTACCTGTGATAATGAGCGTACATCAGCCCGAGTCATGACCAGCCTGAAAAGTTGCCCAAGAATTGGAACATTGTGTTACCATGTTTCTATACTGGAATACAAAGTCTGGATAACTGTGCTACTTTACACTTTTCAAAGTTGTAATATTTATTTTGTGATGTTGCATAGCTTTAAGCGATTGGCTGATCTGGGCAGCACAATCCAAGTGTCTCAGTACGCTGTACTAAATCTCTACCCTATTTAACATGTTGACCATTGTATGACACACCAGGGAACGCACACAAGAAACAAATTAAAATAAAAATAATAATGCATAAGACTGTCATCTGTGACCATATTATATACCTGGATTAAATCAGAGATCGTTATTTCAGATGGCTTCTGAAAGAAAATTCTTAAATTATATGGCTGTAACCAGTATGCTAATATTGTTTCTCGTGCTTCACCATCTGCAGATGAGAGAGTGGCGCATAAGTTAAAAGATGAATGGATTGATGTACAGTGTAAAGCTTCCTCTAATACACAGTGTTGCTATAAATATGATAGAATCATAAAACCTGGACAATATATCAATGCCTATGGCCCTGATTCATGGTCCCTCCTTCATGTGACATAGAAAGTTTAATTCATGTGGAAAAACATAGTGCTGTTTTCAGATCTTTATTTCACTCAAATATCACAGTGTGTCACAAGCTTGCAGTGGTCTCATATTTAATTGAATGAAACATATATTCTTTACTTTGTTTTTATCAGAGATTCTCTTCTAGTAGTGTCTGTTTTCAGACTTATAATTATAGAGTTCTGTTGGTGTAAGATATTTTAAATTGTAAAACATATTTAGAAAAATATGGTTCATTCACAGTTTATGTTGGTGCCAAAGTAGTCAATTTTTATTGTCTTTTTTTTTTTTCTTTTTCACTTTCATAGGAACTTGTTGATATACATGATATTTTTTGGAGGTAGGAGCAAGTATTAAATGTTTTAGACAGTTGTCCGTAATACTTAACTATACAGNCCAACAGTAGTCTCTAATACCTCTGGTAGATTGGGGAAACATTATAGATACCTCTCAGCTAGTAGAGCCAGTCTCGCTGGCTGGGCGGGACTGATGGTAAGCACCAGTACCGCTAGGATATAGAGACTGGTAGAATATCATAGAGGGAAGCACAGTAGATCAAACTGGTTGTGGTGAATGGGGAAACCAACCCTCTCAAAATAACTAACTAACTAACTATACAGACTGAATGAAACCATGATATTTCCATTATTGATCTTCATACTAAGATACTGTAATGTGCTGAGATTGTTTTCTTTTTAATTTAATTTGTGACTTGACATTATTATGTCACTTTATCAGTAGTCAGATGGATAACATGAAGTAAAAAGGGAAATGCTAAAAGCATTCTTAAAAATGATACTGAATTTAAGCAAGACATGTAAACAAATAGTGACATCACAGTGCAAGTACATGTATGTATGACTTCCATCACAGTACAGCTATAACAGCTTACAGATTGGGATATTATATTATACTTTTTTACAGAATTTCCTCACTGCATACCTTCTATGAAATATTATATTTTAATGCAGTATCATCAGTTTCTTAGACTGTTATTTCACAGAGTTTTTTTCTGTCTGCAGACAGTTCTCATCTCTTTGCAGCCTTGTACCATTGTGTTCCCATTTTTATAAGGTGTACAAGAACCCTAATCTCCGTTTCTGTAGATCTGCCTTTTGCATTAACTCTTTGTTCTGCAACTTATTGATGTATGTAATTACTGAAACTTTCAAGTCTGTGGCACATTATGTTGTGTCATGTTTTACTGGGACCTTTCCTTTTGATATTGCAGACAGAATTTAAAATTTCATCTAGAATAATAGAGGATTATACCTGCCACGGCCATGGACAAAGGTTTGTGAATTTCACTCACCCTCAAAGCAGAAGGTCTCGCACCAGTGGGGTTGATGCATGTTCTTCTTGACCTTTGTCTTGAAGCGATATTTCCTGTCAGGTAACAGTGTCACCCAAACATAGGGGTCGCATTTCCCAGGGAAAAAATCTCTCATCGGGAGATTCCTGGCCTACACAACAAATGTATATGCCATAAGAAGAGACAAGATTACTCACAGATATTACAGTTAACGCTGAAATGCAAGCACACCATACTGAACTCATTTAAATGCAGTATTAAGTTATCTGTCACACATATTAAATGCTTTGCGCAAGCAGTTACAACCTGTGTAGTTCATCTGCGGATACCTGAGTAGTTTCTTTACCCATTACAAATTATTTTGTTCTGCAATACAGTTCCTTATGGAATCCTGTCGTATTGGCTCAAATGGACTTCAGGGTATCCATAGAATCAACACGCAAGCAGTAATGAAAATATTCATATATATGATTATGCCTCTTTTTCAGTAAAATTGCAAGTGGTAACATGTTTAAGGCCACTCCCAGCCTGCCATAATGTGGTGCTGTATAACATGTGGAATTGGTACCATTACCTGGATAACAAATGAGTTGCTGCTGAGGAATGACAGAAGAGGTAAAGCATGGTGGACACTGGGAACATGGAAAGGTAGAGGAAGTACAGGAAGGGTAGGTTAAGGTAGGTATCCACTGAGCCAGGGAGAGCAAGATGCAGTGCATACTTCATTAAACTTTACTGAAACAAGAAAGTCAAGAGACGAATAACTGTGCACGAAATGGTTAGAAATTGAGGTAAATATATATATAAAAATTTTCTAAATTATACTAAAGAATATATATGTTTTACAGATATAAGAATTGTTTTGTGGATTATTTTATGAGGCTGTCAGTAGCTGCCCAGCATGAAATGGAAGGATAGTAAATGAATGATAAATTCAAATTTTGCAAGGTGTGGTGGATAGGACTATGTATTTCAGAAGGTGAAGTATAGCATTTTCAATTCTAATTTTTACAATGGCAGGAGGAAATACTGTAACAGTTGTAGAGGAATAACCTCAAAGTACTGAGGAGTATAAAAAATACAGGAGTAAGTCATTTAAATTCTGTGCACGAAATTCATACTAGATCACTGGCAAAGTCAGTTTTCATCACTGCAAAGAACTTATATTAAGGCATTAAAATAATGTTATAAGAGGGAGATGCATACAAAAGTTTTGTTTAAGCCTGAAGAGTAAAAACCAGTTGGTAGATGTCTACAAAGATGAGGAAATAATATTAAAACGGATCTTAAAGAAATTGGGTGCAAAGTATGGACTGGGGTTCAAGTGGCTCATGATAAGAACCGGTAGTTGGCTCCTGTGAACACAGTAATCAATCTTCAGATTTCATAAAGGAAAAGGATGTGCTTGAATAGCTGTGTGACTCTTAGCTTCTGAAGAATAATTCTGTTCTATGAAATTGGTTTGAATATTGACAGTATATTTACTATACAGTAACTAGAAAGTAAATAAGAAGAGTTTAAAGAATCATATATTCTGGATATCCATAAATTGATAGTGTATTTTCTGTTGAAAACATCAGAAAAACTTGGCAACTTTCATCTTTAGCTATGTATTCCATAGATAACCATTCAATTAATCCACTCTCTCACATTATAACCCTAGATGGACACTAGGAAACCAAAATTCTCTCTTTGAGGGACACTAAGAAAGCACAATTCTCTCTTTGAGGAACCGTAGGGTAACACTGTTTCACTGAATATGCATGCTGTGAGTTTGAAAATTTCTGGAAAGAAAGCATAAGAGAATGAGCATATTAATAACAGGCTAGGTAATATTCTAACAGGCCGTTGGTCCTAATTTATGAAACCAATAATGGCAACAATAAATGACAGTGGCAGTGGTTTTCAAGGGATATTGAAAGAAAAAAAACATTTCTATTCATTCTCTACAACATTTTGTCCAATGTGCCATGTAAAGAGTACAGATGATGATATACGTTCAAGAATTAATTGAATTGAAATGTTTTTCATGCCTGATGCCTGGGAGTAAATGAAGAAAGAGATTTCACTTGAACTACACTGAGTGTACTCACAGACTGAATGAGGACTTTTAGTTTGGTGTCATGAGCATTGTACTTGAGAGTGAAAGATATGTGCCCCCGTGTATGATCCATGCTGCTCCTGTCCAACTGCAGGGTCGCTATATTCTGCTGCAACTGCTGAGCCTAGGAAAGACAAGGCATAACAGGCTCAATATTGTAGTGGGTGCAGGTTTTGGACATATCTTTGGAATTTCTGGAGTCTCTGACAAACTAATTTGCATTCATGAAGAAGTAAAGTATAAAAGGTTTGAATGCAGCAGAATAGAAAGCTTTAATGCTCACTTAATCTTCCTGTGTTATATTTGATTAATTTACTTGTGGTTTAAAGAGAGTGTTACAACAGCAGTTGTGGTCTTATTTAAGNTGACTACGTAGCAACAAATAATTTAATGACAGTGGATAATCAATTAGAAAGGATATACAACAGCAGTTGTGGTCTTATTTAAGGTGTTGTTCCAACACTCGTGTGGGGAGACTGAAGAAATCCACAAAAGACCCCAGTAAGGATGCCGGTGTCCCAGCTGAAATTTTGACTGGGCACCTCGCAAGTAGAAGTCAGAATCCTTACAGTTTGAGCCCATTTGTTCAGCTTCATGTCTAGGCAGATGTTTTCCATAAATATGGTAGTAGTAATCATGCAATGGTAGTGCAATCATTGCATCTCTTGAGAAGAAAGGCTGTTACCTAATTCAATTTGGCTAAGTCATGGTTGTAAATAATCACAGTTCATGTGAAGGAAATGTCATTGGTTTACTTTTAATTAAGTGAAGTTACTGAAGTCTGTATTTATATTTGGAAGATTTGGCAAATTATTAGTTGCATTTAGTTACTGCACCGGTCTAGAGAACCGAAATTAACGACAATGGGGATTCGTTGCATTGACCATGGGACCACCCACCAGCAGCCCAAACCCCATTGTCAGTGCTCATTGATGAGTCTGGAATTCACTAAATAATTAGTCGGTGTTTCCAATAGGCAGACTTCCATGAATAAGCACAGCTTTCAAGTGGCTATATATCAATTGTAGTGTCAGAATCAGAGGACTCCAAATGTACACACTCATTTACCCACCACTGTATTCTGTTTGTTTTCCACATAGGGCAGCACTCTGACATTTGGCACCATGGGCAGAGACTCCAGGATCGAGACCGTCACAATGCCTGCTTCTGGTGATGACTTCTTCCTGCAAGTATTAAACAACTTATAGAAAGTTTGAAACTTTCATGCACTTGATATTTTTGATAAGAGTTGTAGCCTGGTATCATCATCAGATAACCCCCAATCTATGATGAAGGCCAACAGTGATTACTACTAGGAGTAGAATGTGCAGCATGAAAACTGCTTTGTTGTACAAAGAATTTCACCTTCACATACAGCATATCCATTCTCAGAAACAAAATCAGAGTGATTAAATCATGGCGGTATAATTATTTTATGAAGGAAAGGTCATTACAAATATTTATTTTTTGTTTAAGTGTAATTTTTAATTTTATAATATATTATTGACTATGTCACAAATAACCAGTGTAGTTGAAATGTATTTAAGTAAATTAATATATTTCTTCTTCCTCTGCATTTTCAATACAAGCTGTAAGCTAGAAGTAGATTGTAAAGACTTCTGATGATGGTGTATGAGACTCAGGGTTGCTGGGTTTTTTTACTTTGTCCATTATACGGTATTCTTAAGAACACATTGTTTAAAAAACTGGATTTGTTTCCATCCCAAAGTCAGGCACTGGGAGACACCTACTCAGTTGGATACACTAGAAAGGGCTAACACCAATCACTGGATCAGTGGTAGAGGTTAACTATTCTAAGAGACCCAACAGAGTAGGTGTGTCCCACCCCCTCACCAGAGGACAGAAATAGATCCAGTTCCTGAAATGTTGTGTTCTTTAGTGTTTTTTAGTGTTCTTTAGAATACTGGATGATGAACAAACTCCAAAACCCAGTAATACTGAATACGAGCTACAAGCTTGCTCACTCTTCAGCACACTGTTTACAAAGCTTAGCAGTATAGCTCTCTGTTGTACATTGTAACTGAAAATAGACTTCAATAATCTTTATTCCACAACCTTGTTCAATATTTTAACCACTTATGTTACAAAAAGTTACTTATTTCTTATAGAAAATTCATGCTGTTATTACCCAGTAGAATCGTTATTCATTCTAGAAAAATGAATACTGTCTTCAACCATTTCTAAACGTTTATTTCCAGCAGGTTGCACCCTGTTTTCCTCTCCCTTTGTTGAACCAAATGTATACTGCCATGAATTTATTGACCAGTTTTCTAACATATGGAAATAAATAGGATTCTTGGCACAATACTTGGTTTTATACAGGGATGCAGGGGTCTCTTCAGGATTAAGGCTTGGGTATGTTGTCTGGCCAATGAAACCACAAAACTGCAGATATGCTTATGGAACACAGCCACTTCAGTAATCAAATCATGATGTGTGTTAGATATTTGTTTTCAGGAATTCTGCATACATTTGCCAAAACCTAGCAATCCCTAATGGAAAGTACATGGCAAGATTTTTTTTTTTGTCTCTCTAAACATTTTATCAACTGTGATGAAAATCACAGTACAATTTTCTTGTACACATCCATAGTTTGCTGGTATGTTGCTGGCTGAAAAAAAATCCCTGAATATAAAAGTAATTGTCTAGATGCGTCTTTATGTGGCAAAGTTTAACGTTGTAAAATTGACTGAAACACTGCTATTTATTGTTACCATCTTCTACCATCTGTTACCATCTTACCATCACCATGTTCTTTCCAGTTTCTTCTGTATTGCTGTGTGAATTCTGTTATTTGTGGAATTTATGTTTATCCTGTGATTTTGTCCTTCCTTCTGCTGTCTGAATGGTTGTATACTGTGGGAGCTTTTATGAAACACATTTCTGTTGATACCAACTGTCTTTCATCTGTCCTTATAAATCATGATTCATTACCATAAGATAATTCTGGTCTAGCAAGGGTCTTATACTCGTAAATTTGTATAAGTCTTTGGCTACCAAGCAATTGCCGAAATATCTCTGTGATTTTACTCTTACTTAACACAAGCCCACTAACTGATATGGATGACCAAAATATTAACATTAAAGTCTGCAACTGTTTCTGAGACATAAACAGGAGAATTTAGTTCAGAATTCATTGGTTGTACTAAAATGCCAAATTTCAACAATGTTGTTCACACTATTCAGACTTCACTCCTACCAACAGTGAGCACACACACTGAAGTTATGATGTTTTCCACGCTATCATTATTGCAAATGGCACCTATGAACACTGTAAGCCACAGATAGCCAGACATATTCCTGCAGACACATTGTTGTCCTGGCAAGAATTATAAAATATTCATAACAATTTCCCAATTGCTCACTGATAATTGCAAACTGCATGGTGATTTCCTATTAAACAAATCTCCGTGTAATGTCCAAGAGATCTGATTATTCCCTCTGTCTTCAAGGATCACAACAAATAAAATGTTTAAGTGTAAATAATGGCGATACATAGTGAGAGAAAGGTTACTTTATGTGAGACAGCATATGCCAAAACAATGTTTTGAAAATGCCTTGTGATAAGACTAGATGCACAATGAACTCTGTGGCCTGTAGTCAGCAAGCAAACTATACCGACCGATCAACAGCTACTTGTCAGCGAAGTTAGTGCCAACTCTTGCGGATAGAGAGCGTCACGTGGTCAGCGCAACGGATCCCCACGGCCGTTCATCTCGTTTTCTTTAGACCGGAGCCGCTATTTCCTTGAAATAGCTCCTCAATTATCCTCACGGGGCTGAGTGACCCCATTCCAGACCCACTTCTCATAAAATCGTGTAGCACCGGGAATCGAATCCGGGACCTCTGGATCTCTAGCCAGGAACTCTGACCACTAGACCACAGAGGCGGCAGATGCGCAATGAACTGTAATTAATTTTTTTAAAGTCATATTTTCTTTCGCTAAATTCTTGTGGTGCCCGCTATGAATTATAAGCCTCTCCCAACGGTTGGAGGCTCTTGCGCTGAGGGTTCCACAAAGACATACCTGGATGGGGCGCACTTGTGGAAATAGCAGCACAGAATGAGGGTAACGCCAAGCGTGATGGGAATGGCGGTCAGGAGCAGGTCAGTCACGTCCATCGCCGTCTGCAACAGAACACATCGGCTTTTAGAGACGTCTGGTGTGAAGGACATAGTTACGGGTGCTCTACTCCCGTCATCGGATACTGCCCTGTCTGATAATGACTAGGATCAAATGACTGTAGACTTTCAGTGCGAGTGTGATTATGTTTTGTAAAATTTGTGAACATTAAAATGTGGAAAGGAAAGTGCATTTTAAGTGAAAATCGAAGCAAAGAATTTTCATTTCATTACTTGTGCACACGGCTGTTGAACATTTACGACTTATTCTGGAGGACGCAGCGGTATGACAGCCTTCAGAACATGAAACACAGGATGACCATCCGAGCAGCAGCGTCAAGTACGAAAATTGCTTCATTTTTAAACAGATTTCGGTGGGTGGAAATGTTATTACTCGTAAATTGCAGCGCCCGATGTCCACAATGCTATTTGAAGACTGGGATGATAGTGCTATATTCAGCGGCCTCCGTAGTCTAGGGGTAACGTTCCCACCTCGTGAAATTTTTAAGGGCGGAAAAATTCCTGGGACAAGTCCTCCGGGAGGGACTTTAAGCCGTGGGTCCCGTATCGTAGATTTACGGCACGTAAACGATCCTGATGTCTCTAGGAGACCTCTGAGCAAAATTAGGCAAAAAGTTTCCCGCCCAAGTAGTTTCCAATGCCTCTGGTAGATGGGGGAAGTATCGGGTACCGAGGGCCGACCTCGTTGGCTGAACGGGGCTGATAGCACACATCAGTACCGGTAGGGTATGGCGACTGGTAGAATGTCAAAGGGGGACGTACAATAGAGTATTAGTCGCGGTGCATGGGGAAACCCACCCCCTCTAATAATAATAATAATAATAATAATAATACTGTATTCAGGATGTCGCAAGGGGAAAGGTCACTATTCTTGGAGGTCACAGTACCGGTCATTCTAAGCAAAACATTGTGTCCTATTCCAAACGGTTTCCGAAACAGGGCTGTTTCATTGTACCGTTCCAAAATTGTTAATAAGAAAGAGATACTACGCACTGTTTCTAATGCCGGTATTTATTGTTTAAGTGAAAGAACATTGACATCTTCTCCAGGGATGTCCCGTGTGTTTGATAGAGACGCTGTTTCATCAAGCGGATGGCGTGGGGGTTTTTATCCCTCGCTGAATATACTAGTTTTTCTTTAACAAGTTTCTCAATGTGGTTAATTTTGTTTCTCCTATAATGCAGATATTTGACGACTGTAAGCTGATCATATAGTGACACAAATATTCCTCTTCATAAAATACTTCAAATGTTGAGTGCCGACCTAGCGTTTTGAACTGCATTTTTTTTGCATATGTGGACTGTTAATTTCTCCCACAGTCACATATAGACGAGCAAATTTATTACACCCTTTGCTTAGTGAAGAAAATAATTGCTGTGGCGTTAGAGGCACACGATTATTCCCTTTCCTTTTAGGGTAATAATACCATTTTCACAAAATTAGAATGCAGAAGTAAACACTCCAGGAAGTGCAACAATGGACAAGGAGAAAGATAATTTGCGCAAGAACGGAACACTTGTTAGTGCTAGCCCATATTAATTAGCATTACGCAGACACAAAAGAGAACATTTCCGGAGTGTAGGCCCATAAATCGTACAGGAGAGAAGGGAATAACGCCTCCAGCCCGTATTGGAACCGAGTGCGAACGCCAAATGCCATGTAACGTGAAAGTATGAAAAGTAAGAAAAGGCGTTTTTCACCTGGTTCATGGGTTTGAAAACTCAGATATAGCGTTTCATGTTCAAGGGATATAGAAGGGGCGTGGAAAACCGGAAAACTCAAGTACGAACCAAACGGCGGCATATCGCGTTCAACGAATTAATGACGGAACAGAAGTAAGCAAAGTTGCCTTTTGTTATATTCATCGAATATTAAGAGGTCGTGCACGCGTACTAGTGAAGAAGAAGAAACAAATACTTTTCCAATTAGTGATGACAGGGAAAAAGTAAGAGACACCAGCATTCGATGACAAACGAACAGGAACAGCATATTTACAGTTTCTTGAAACGAATTCCAACATACGTAAGTCATTGCAGCAGGAAATATAACCGAAATAAACAATACTTTGGGCAGAAATTTCTCCGTGACGACCGTCTCGTGTGTTTGCAAGACAAAAGTGTTGCTAATGAGTTTTCCAGAGATAAATTTACAAGAACCCTGAAGACTTTCAGCGTGGGATTTAAACCTTTGAAGGCAGCCAAGCGTAACATTTTCCATTCCAGCAACAATTGTTTAAAATCCACAAACTGAAGGAGGAAATAATTAATGTTTTAACTTGAAAATATTACCCTATTCAGATCATTTTGAAAATCGCTATAAAAATTGCCATAATAGAAACTATATCACAATATTCATAATGTGTTCTCTGTTTTATGGAAACGAAGCTTATATAGAATTCGAGGATCCCACGCCAATGGTTAGGAGTTCTACCTTTAAGCATATAACGCCGTGAAGTACGTTGAAAGCCAACCAACGTTTCGGAAGATCATGTGGCCCCCATTTTTATGGTCGAAAAATAAGCCAAGCAGGAAACCAACATGACGCAGAAAAGAGACTGCTTTCACCGAACTACAAGGCGTTATATACCAAAAGGCAAAACTCTTCAAGAGATGTCATGTTTTTTGTTAAAAGCGGTGGATAGTCATTGGAGTTGAGCCCACTAGGGGATCGTCTTGTGGACCACATCGCATAACCAAGGCCTCTTAAACTCTCCGCATTAGTTTTATTATCCTCTCGCTACTGTTCCTGGGTCGTTCCAGTAGCGCCTAGAGGATGCTTGTAACGACACGCACGATCTGCTTTAACGGTCAATAACGTCTTGTGCGCGAAATGAATTCGTGGGCGTAGGTGAGAGAGGGGTATGATAGGTATCTTCCCCAAATCGGTGACATTTTTTTGATAAAAATCAGAACTGAAAAACGGGAACTAAACATCAGATAGTAATAAAAAACATAAATTATTTTTATATGTGGCGCCAATAATATTTCAACATAAATGAAAAGCAACTCCAGGGTGATCTTACAAAATAGTCTTACAAGATTTAAACATAGACCTGTTCGCAAAATTTCTGGCTGTCTCGCCCTTGGAAACGCCCACGACAGGGATCACTGACGTTGATAATAGGGACGAGGAATGTTTTCTTTGATGTGGGACCTGTTGATCAGGTGACCGAAAGGTTAGATTGCATTGCAGGCGTTTGGAGGCAACAAAGCCAAGCCACGCCCCCATACGAATACGCACTAGACGAGCAGGTTTTCTTCTTACTCGAATTTCGTCATTTTCCTTCAGTCATTCTTTCAGCCACATAACATTAGTACTTTTATCCGGTATAACTCGATTTAGATTGGTCTGAACATCGCAAAACACAGGCATATCTTTCCGTTATAAGGGACAAGGATGTTAAAGTTATCTACGAACGAGATTCTGAGTACCGAGTATGGCGCTTCACAAGCAAACTTTTCTCTTGTTAGCTTCTCATTTCCCACGTCAGCAGCTCCCTTATATGCTATGGCTATATTACTAATAGACACCTATTTCCCATTTCTCAAGAAATCAGATTGCGTCTTAAACCAGATATGCCTCCCGTACAATGTACACTAATAAGACACCTCTTCATATGTGGATAATTTGTCAGAGTTCTATAATGCATGCATATACATGCAGAGTTCAGCATTTCTGTAAATTTCAAGCCTCTGAATCAATCAGATCAGAACTGCACCTTCAAAGGAGAGTTCAAATCGCTATGGAGCCTTATATAAGTTCACATCAGTTTCTTCTTACACTCATCTGTGCCTACAACTCGGGAACAGCAGAACAGATTTCCACGGAAATTGTTGCAGAAGAATTTTACAAGAAATCGTCTAGCCACGTTAAATTTCCGTTAAATCAAGTTGTAACGGACGCTACATGAGGAGGCAGACGCATTTCAGCGTATATCTCAAACGGGACTCGCCAAATATTTATGGGAGTGAAAAATGTCCCTAGGAAACGTTACAGAGAAAAATTAAACGAGCCCTTCATGTTGTAATTTTCTTTCTTCCTCTCTCTCTCTCTCTCTCTAATTCTTGAAGTTTCCTAAAGAGACAGAACTCTATGCATACTATTCCCAGCCTGTACATTCAACAATAAACGATGATCGTCAGAACATCCGAAGACTACCGAAGTCACCCATTGTTGACAATAATTAAACTAAGTTTCTTTCCGCCTAAATTTACAGCTCTTCATGTGCATAGAAGATCTTAAAACACAATTGAATATGTTGCTACAATCGTTACTTCATTAAAATTTAAATTATCTCTTTCGAACGTGCCAGAATTATTATGCCGTGCATATATCGCCATCTTCATTCTTGTCACATGCAAAATGGGAAAGTTAACGTATGCGTTTTGTGTCTGAAACATTAGGCTGAAGGAATTGCTATATATAAAAATTTAGAAAGAAATGGACGGTTCTTGTAGATGGAAAGGGCGAAGGAAGGTAGAATTAAATTATGAAAACATTGAACGAAAAATAATGAGCAGCCTCATCCCAGTCGTTATAACTACCGGACTACGGCCTGGTAGTCATGAGAATCATGATTCGATTCTCGTTAGAGACACAAGATTTTCTCCAGACCAGATCTGGGGACCACCCAGCCACTTATCCAATGGGTACCAGGGTTCGTTCCCTGAGGATAAAGCGATCGGGACGTGAAACTAACTGCTCACTTACATCAGATCCGAAGTCACGAACACATGAGCTATACCAGTTAGTCTTCTTCGTGTGAGTTAAGTACAGGGACAACTTTACTTTTACAGTGATGAGGGCAAAGAGCAAGAACGAAGTTAAGGGGTCGCTACAAACAGGATTTTGCGGTCGGTACAAGCGTTACGCTTTCAGGTTATTCCAGAAACAGAAAACAGAATAATCTGGGGCCAGCTATAAAATCATAGCCTTGTATGCGGGAGGTACTCGGTTCGAATCTTTCGCCTGGGATACCGGCTATGCTTGCTGAGGTCTATCGTGCTTTTCTTCAGTCCTTGCAGGCAAATTCCGGGATTGTACCTCGACTGGGCCATGACCGCTTCCGTCATTAGTTACCAGCCAGCCATCCGCCCACTCAGATACTAACAGAGCCGTAAAATAAACTACCCAGAAAGGAAAAGGAACATGAAGGAAAATAACTTCATCTTGAGCCTTGCAGTAGCATACTTCCAGTGCGGATTGTACTCACTGGGTCACGTGGGACATCTCGACGTCGTCATGGCAACACTTCCAACAGAAATAGAACACAAGATTCAGCGCACCGCCTCCAATCGATCTCACTGCAGCTCACATTATTGCCTAATCCAACAGGTGCTCGGCCTTCAGAGTTGTTCTTATTGTTGCTGTTACGTATTGTGACTTTCCCGTAAATTAATATTATTATTGTTATTATTACTATTACTATTATTGTTATTGTTAGTATTGTTATTTACGTTGCTGCTTTGTTTTAGTTGCGTTAAGAGTTACTGCAGTTTTATTTCGTCTGCTTTAAATTGAAATGAAGAACCGGATCAGTGCACACGGTCAGCGAGGGGGATTGATTTCGAGTCCCGGCTGGACACTACCCACGCCGTTGTGTACACTGACGAGAGGAAAGCGCACTGAGGCCCGGACGCCAGACGCGCACACCCATCCACAGAATTCGGGGCTAGTCGGACGCGATCGGCGCACATCGACGCTACATCTTGGCCAGTTACTCGACGTTATATCAACTGCACAAGCGGTGATGACGTAATGAAGTTGGCGCCATTATTGCTCGAGAATTACGAGAAAACTCAGCATGGGGAGCAATCCCAGGAACGAAATATTGTGCAACAAATTGTCGTCAGGAAATACCCCGTATGTTATCGAAACTGAAGCTTCATTGTAGAATTCACAAAATCCCCCAAGCTTTTTCAACTCCTTCATTGAATGAATCGAGTCGACACTCTCACCCATTTCTTCAGTGCCCATTTTAATATTATCCTTCCATCTGCGCCTGATCCTACAAGTGTTTGAAACCAAAAGTTTATATATATATATACACACACACACACACACGTACATGTCTTTCCTCTTCCTTGAATATGCTACATGCTCCGCTCATCTCACCCTCTTTCATTTGATGATCCTAACCATTTTTAGTGAGGAATACAAATTACGTTGCATTTTTTCGATCCTATTATTGATTTCTCCCCCCTGCATCCGAACACTCCCCTCAGGATCCTATTCTCAGACACTTTCAATCTATATATTCTCCCCGTAATGTGAGACAAAATGTTACACCCATACTAATCAACAGTAATCATTCAGTTACGTAAAGCTATCCCTGTAACAGGCTGTGCAGTTCCATAGGGTTGTGAGACATCGAGGCTCCCACATTTTTTAGACAGTAGGCTCACAGATGGCGGTGAGGTTGTCAGCCTTACGCGCCGGCCGCCCTTTACCCGCAGGAAGATTCTTGGTACTCATTTCTGTTAGAGGCTGAGTCAACCCCAGGGCCATAGTGCGCCTGGAAGGATTAGGTCAATTGAAAACTGCAATGACCTCACCGGGAATCGAACCCGCAATCTTCCGGCTTGTAGCGTAGTTCCTCGATCGACTATACCATCAAATTCCCCGTAAGGATTCAGTTATGTATATTGTCATGATTTTAGTTTATGGTATGGGTTGGATGTTGAATTTGTTGACACAAGTTGGAGCCATAAGTAATTACAGCGTTATCGCTGATTTCCACACTTTGCAAATCACCAGCGCGCGCTAAGTCTTCTCAGTCTTCACTAGTCGTATCCTGGCAGCGGGTTTTAACACACTAATTGTAACAGCCTCCCTGTAACTACAGCATATATAAAGTCTTCTTTTCACAGTAGCGCTCATACAATTGACTCTTTTCTTCACAGCCGGACTTTCAGCTCTCATCTGGCTAACTCCCAGGCTGGGGATCATTTCACGCCAACCTCCTTGTCTTCTCTTCACAGGCTGACTTTCAACTAGCTACTGATTGGGTCAAAATCTAAGTCAAAGTCGTATTGCGACTGACTGTCAGTCAGTCAGTAAATCAGCAAGTCTTTGTGTCGAGCCCCATCGTGTGCTCATGATCAGATATTTATTACTGTTTGGCAGTTACGGTCTTGTTTTGTGGGGCGCCTTCTCTGGCGAGAGGACGGGTCTGTCTTTTGTACAGAAAGTGGTTCAAATATGACCGGGACTGATTAGTGTGTAAACAAGCCGCACTGCGCAGCAGCTGTGCGACCTTGAGAGAGTAAAGGCACAACCTCCAACCTCCCTCCTGTTCGGGTTAGAACATGTTCAGTCCTGTCTGGGAGTTGCTAGAGTGATGAGTGAACAGAAGGTACCGCGGAGCGTGGAACAACGCATTGTGATCAAAGTCCTCGGAGAAAACGTCCCGTCCGCTGAAATTCACCACAGACTCCAACAACAGTATGGGGAAGAGTGTCTCTCACAGACCCGTGTGTTTGAGTGGTGTAAGTGCTTCAGAGCGGGCAGAGAGCGCGTGGAGAATGAACCGCATGATCGTCGGCCGCGAACATTCGTCACCGAGCCAAACATTGATCGTGCAGACGCACTTATTCGTGAGAATAGGTGCATCACTACCAAGGAACTTGGAGCAATGTTGTCCATCAGTGTTGGTAGTGTAGAAGACATCGTGAAATACCACCTGCTCTATCGCAAGGTGAATGCCCATTGGGTACCACGCACTTTGACGGACGTGAACAAAATGGTGGGCATGCAAGCTGCCATTCTTCTCCTACAGCAGTTTGAAGACGAATGTGATTCATTTTTGAAGTCTATAGTGACCACCGATGAAACGTGGGTGCACTACTTCATTCCTGAGTCCCAGCAGTCATCACGTGAGTGGCGGCATACCAGTTCTCCCAAACTCAAGAGAGAGCAGAGGAGCCGTTCGGCAGGAAAAGTGATGGCAACGTTCTTCTGGGACTGGCAGGGGGTTATCCATGTAGACTTCCTGACAGATGCCAGAACAGTCAATGCAGCTTATTACTCAGATGTGAAGGAAAAGATCCGATCCAAGCGGAAGACAGGTGGAAAGCGGGTAGCCTTCCTTCAAGACAATGCATGCCCCCATACGGCCAAAACAACAATGGAAACCCTCCGGAAATTGAAATGGAACCTTCTGATACATCCGCCGTACAGTTCCGATTTGGCCCCAAGTGATTTCTACCTGCTCAGAGGGCTCAAATCACACTTGTAAGGCATGCGGTTTGTGGACAACGACGCCGTCATCCAGACTGTTCGGGAGTGGATACACCGCCAACCACAAGCCTTTTTTGAAAGGGCATCAGGATGCTTCCAGAACGTTAGAAAAGTTGAGTTGACTCCGAAATAGTATGTTCTAAGATCTATAATTTAATTAATTCTATTTTGAATAAGAAAGAATTGCCTGATCAGTGGAAGGAGTCTATTACTATACCAGTTCACAAAAAAAAGTGATAGAAATGACTGTAGTAATTATCCTGGGATATCACTGTTATCAACTTTATACAAATTTGTATCCAATATTCTTCTCTCAAGGTTAAATCCATATATAGACGAAATTATTGAGGACCATCAGTGTGGGTTTTGATGTAACAGATCAACTACTGATTAGATCTCTTGCATTTGTCAGATACTGGAGAAAAAATTGGGGTGCAGTGAGACAGTACATCATGTATTCATAGACTTCAAGAAAGCCTATGATTCAGTTAAGAGGGAAGTATTGTACACCATTCTGATAAAGTTTGGGGTACCCATGAAACTAGTTAGGCGATTAAAATATGTTTAAAAGAAACATACAGTAAAGTCCATATAGGTAAATATTTATTTGATAATTTTCGTATTCAAAATGGTCTAAAACAAAATGTTTCATCGCCATTTTTCTTTAGAACATGCAATTAAGAAGGTTCAGGAAAACCAGGTGGTACTGAAATTAAATGGGACATATCAGCTGTTTGTTTATGCCGATGATGTGAATCTACTGGGTGAAAATATACCATATATACCATAAAGAAAAACACACAAACTTTAATTGATGCTAGTAAGGAGGTTGGTCTAGAAGTAAACGCAGAGAAAACTACATAAACTTGTATGTTACTGTCTCATCACCAGAATGCAGGGCGAAATCATAAAGATAGCTAACAGATGTTATGAAAATGTGGCACGGTTCAGATGTTTGGGAACAAATCAATACCTGATTCAGGAGGAAATTAAGAGGAGATTGAATTCAGGTAATACTTGCTACCATCCAGTCTAGAACCTTTTGTCATCTCATCTGCTGTCTAAAAACATAAAAATTAGAATACACAAAAGTATAATTTTGCCTGTGGTTCTGTATAAGTGTGAAACTTTGTCTCTGACATTAAGGGAGAAACATAGACTGAGGGTGTTTGAGAACAGAGTGCTGAGAAAAATATTTGGACGAAAGAGAGATGAAGTGACAGGATGTTGGAGAAAACTGAATGATGAGTTTCATAACTTGTACGGTTCTCCAAGTATAATTAGAATGGCCAAGTCAAGGAGGATGAGATGGGCAGGGCATGTAGTATGTAATAACTTCAAGTTATCTCTCACAGATGGCCTTCTATATTAGTAGCTGTATACTTCACTTCTGCAGACTGTTGATGTAAGCACTTTGAGAATAGCTCTATTGAGGGGTCCAACAGAGTAAATTCTCTTTTTCTATGATCACTCTAAGATGGAAAGAGGACATAATTTTTTAAAGTGTGTCACACTTTTATCAAATACTTTAATCTTGGTTTCTTTAAAATGAGAGCTTTTATCGAATGAAATTTTTGGGGGGTGGGGGGAGGGGAGTTGTGGGTGTTCCTTAATTTTAGGGTCTGACCGTTTGCTACACTGGCAAATTTACCACAAAAGAAATCCATTGTTACAATTGCAGGCTACTGGATCCTTGCCAGCTCAATCCTGCCCATATCATAAAATTCCTCACAACTGCTTTAACATTACTGGTATCTTTCCTTCCATGCTTTGGCCTCCCATGTCTCTTCCCTCATTTGAAGAATGTCTTGTTTCTCATGTCATGATATGCGAGTTCTTCCTCCTACATAAATCTGAGCTCACCCTCCAAAGCCATCCTGACACATGCTTTTAACTTCTGTGATTAACACAGCATGTGTCTGGAAGGTAGTTGCAAAACTACCAGAGTTGTGTGAGAGAGAGAGAGAGAGAGATATGGTCATAAGTCCCACAGGAGCCAGAATCAAGAATGACTGTGCTGGCAAGGACCAGCAACAATTTCCTTCTACCAAACCAAACTCAGTCTGTAGAAAGCTGACTTTATTTGGAAGAAAGTTCAAATTACAAGACATACTAGAAAGAAACCTCATTAAAAAATATTTATTTACATTACAACAGTATAGCACAATCCCACAAACCCAAAATATATCTCCTATAATAGTATAATTCAATGAATAAAATATTAATGGAAATTAGTAGAATGCAGTATATATTCTAATGCACATTGCAGATTGAGTTTGTATCACTGCATCTGAAGTTACTGTTCCAGCTTGAACATTGCCTTTGCAATTCTCCCCTCTTTCAGGGCTTGGAGTGCTTCTTCATACTGGCTCAAAGAGTATGCCTTGATGCCGAGCTTCTCATAGTCCAAATACCTACACAAATTAGGCAACCAAATTACATGCCAGAACAATATGGACAAAAGTTCAGATTGGTCACCTAATTGTTCCTGGGGTATGTATTATTATAATTCAGTTAAGAATCAATCTGATTGCTAACAATGATCTGGATATACAAAGTAAATGTGTATTTTAGCTATGTATTCTATCCTGAATTACTGTGTGCTGGTCTCTTCTTGTAAACAGTATTCATAAAGTTTCCTTTGTTTTCCATTTTGCAGTACTATTTCCTGTTTCAACCCTCTTATAAAGAGCCCTTCATTCTTATGTGAAGGTAAAAGCTATCCCTGTGCTTACATAATTAAGCATAACACCATAATGATGTATGGGGAAATGGAGGTATAGCAACACCATTCTTAATCTTGGCACTAGGTGAAGGTGAGTGGTCACCTTCACTCCCTAGCAGCCTTACCCCATGGAAGAGCCCCAGTATCCATTGGATAGGAGGTTTGGTGGCTCCCAGATTAGATCTGGATGCTACAGAGTTGAGAAGAATCTCTTGCTCCTGCTGGGAATTGAACCCTGGCCATTCTGCTCATGCTACTTATTTTTATTTAATGATATTATGGCAAGTCACCTTTGTGGAATGCAGATGCTTGGACGTGTTAAATATGATTCAATCCATTCGACCAAACAAGACAGAGGTGACATTCCAAATACAATGTTTTCAAGTTCAGGTCACACAAAATATATTTCACCATTGCAGTCAGTGAGTAACTTGTACATAGTCACTGCCGTTTCTCTTTCCTCCTTAATTAACAAGTAGATCTGGCATGTGACTGCATTAGGCACATGCAGTGCAGTCACAAGCACATTGTTGATATATCAGAAAGATACATCTGGTAGGCATACATACAGCAAACATATTTCAGGCAATATAATGTGTAATTTTGGTGGCTTTATTATTGCCAAAAGATTGTTGTAACATGAAGAAACGATCACTGTCCTAACACACAGAATTTTAAACTCTGAGGTTTCCTTTTCCCCTTTGGACTTTAAAATACAAGTTCATATTGCCATATAAGATTTTACAACAAATTTGTAAGGCCCAAATTCTATGACAGAAATCATTTAACCTCTATTGCTCAGGAATAAGGGATTTTAAATCCCCCTGTTCTATGAGGCTATCAGCCATATTTTAACCCTGGGGCAATGGTATTAAGAAATGCAATGCTCAGCCAGCTTGACTGGTTATCTGCACCATTATTATAGTAAAATGAAGAGCCAATAGGAGTTAAACTATCTTTCTCAAAAATGAACCCCATCATCAACAGTGACATGTTTCTTTTCACTGAAATAACTAATGACGATCCATCTGGTAAGGTAATAGGTGAAAGTAATGAAATCGCTACAGGGATAGCTTTATCTTACCTTTTTATGGTCCTCTCCAACATTATCTCTTTCCACGTGATTTATTTTATGGGGAGTGCAGCAAGGAATTTCAGCAGCTGTGATCAGGGTTAGTGCACACACTCCAGCTGCAGTGGTACAAAATTTTGAAATGGGACTGCAGACTGTTGTGGATGCCAAAGGTGCACATATTAAAAATGTTTCCACTTTACTTTCACTACCCTGAGATCAGTATGCTAGCCACGTATTTTAACAAATCAGTACAATTAAACCTGGAGCATGTTTTTGGAAAGATCCTGTATACACACTATGATTTCATTATCAGCAGGGATCATGTATCAGATATGTGTAGACTGGGCACTTTGCCATTGGATTAAATATGTTTATAAGAATCATAACAATCTAGTGATGTTACAGGCACATGTGCTTGTTCCTCACCTGGAGCCCATAGCGTCAATCCAACCCAAAGCCTTGGGAAAGCTGAACGGGTTGACTTTCACAGCAACAATTTTCAGCTCGTTCTTGTACAGAAGGTAGGGGGACACACTGCAACAGAAAGCAAGAATTTTGATACATGGACTTGTTGCTGAGAGGCATGTAGAGCTGAGTCATGTGACAATAGCTCACTTCATTGTTGCTTTGGGAGATGAAACTCCAAAGATGCACAGTGTTCCACCCGGGTTGATGAGTGCCAGAGCCTCCTCCATGGCAGGGGCATAGCCACTACAATCAATTACCAGGTCCACGCCCCAGCTAGAATCCTTGGCTCGGCGAGTTTGAAGTTCCTCTGGAGTGATGATGTCAAATCCAGTTTCTGAAGCCATGCCAAGATTCTTTATTTAATGATTTGATATCAACTTACTGTGTTAGTAGATGAGAAAGAGCTGGTAGACAGCATAATGTGCGTGAAGACATATGGGGGAGTGGAGGTATAGCGCCAGCATTCTTGACATCAGCACTAGATGGAGGTGAGTGGTTAGCTTCACACTGTGTAGTCAGTTTCCTGGCCAAGATCCAATGTGGGAACCTCCCATATAGAAATCACAAGTATTGCCACTTTAGGAGCTTGTTTCATAGCAACTGTAAAATATAAAAAGGTAAAGTTGTTCCTATGCTTAACTAATTAAGTGCTACAGCATGAAGGCATATGGGGTAGTGGATGTTTAGATCCACGTTTTCTTGACCTCGGCTAGTTGGAGGTGAGTGGTCAGTTTCACACGCTGGCTGCTTTACCCCGGGAGAAAGAGCCCCCAGTACCCATTGGATAGGAGGCTGTGTGGGCCTGAGAGCCGGTCTGGATGACCTGGAGAAGAGAAAATTCTTGACCCTATTGGGACTGGAACTCCAACCCCTCAGTCTTCCAGCCCATAGCCAGTCGCTATACAAACTATGTTATCCCAGCTCCTGAAATGAATATATATAAGAAATGTCTGATGATTGTCTACACAAAATTAAATTATTATTTGTTCTGGTTTATTGAACAAGTAGTAAATCGTTGCATAGAAACAGTGTTTCTGTGTCACCCATTCCTCATCTCAAGCCTGAGCTGGAACACCGACTCCATAATGCATAGTAGCAAAAATAAAAGTAAAAAGATGGTCTTATTTCGCCTCACTACTGATCATAGGTAAATGCAAGACATGGTGAATTCACAATTAAGTATTGACATTGGCTTAAAAATTCTTACTTACTCTTTTGTTCTCTAAATACCTTGGTTTGTATTTACAGCAAGTATCACTTGCTCTCTATTACTTTCCTTTTGCCTATGTAACTTCACTTTTATCTCTGACAAATCATTCTCTACATCTTTCAGCCATACGAATCTCTGTCTTCTTACTTTTCGTCTGCCCCCATCTTATTTTAAAAAATAATTATTATCTACTCATGTTTGATTCGTTGTAATTGCAAGCCCCAACTACTCCAGTCTTCTCCTTTTAATATCTGCTACCAGATTAGGAGTTTCATATAATTCCCCCAATTTTCGGTTAATTTTGTGTCTTCAGAAATTCTGGTAACTGAACTTATTTGTTCTGAATTATATAATATAATAGTTCAGAAGGGAACTAATATTAAGACACAACATTATGTTGAATGTTAGAGTAGTTATTAATTGGAAAATAAATTCACAATAAGATGAACAAAACTCATCAGTAACTGCAAGACAAGTCCATTCCTAACAAAAGCCAGCCTTACCTCATTGCTGGAGATAAGAAATTGACTCAAAGTGCTAAGAATTTCATTTCAGAAGACCAGTATGTGAACCTACTACAATGGCACACCCATTACTAGGTTAGAACACTTCTATGTACTGTTTTGTTAAGAGAGATACTGGTCGCATTTACCATAAACTTGGCTACAAGATGTTACCACAGTTAGGGCTGTTAGACAACTGCATACCAACAGTAACTAATGGTAAAACCAGACTAGTTATTTCAGTTGGTATATAGTTACTATATTGTTAGCGATGGTACCATAATCTAATCAGATTGTTTGATTGTTACTATTGGCTGCTAAATACATGTGAACAGCCAGTTTGAGGCTCTGTTGTCATCATTATAGATGAATAATTAAAATTAGTCCAGAAGCCCAGTTACAACGCAATAGTAGCAGTGGCTACTGGCACCATCCAGTGTAGGTTCCTGAAGCATATGCAGGCAAATCTTTGAAATCTGTAACTGTTATAAAGGCTAAACTGGCACATATATTGAACATTTTGTTATCTCATTTCAGTTATAAACTGAAGCTTCTACTGCTTCCATCATCAGGTGAGAGTATGAAGTATACTCTCTTTGGTTGCTTGGACAAGGGATCTAATGGACCCAACACAGTAGATTCTATAATTTTACCTAAGGATAGAAGCAGAGCTATCTTCCGAAACATACCAGTTTAACTGTAGACAAGATAATAGACAATGTCCAACATGTATGTGTCAAATATTATGTTCCTGGACATTATACATTGCCCTGTTTTTTAAAACACAAGGTCCAGAGACAGGGACTAGCTCTATCAATTGGGCCTAACTGAGTAGGTTTTACCTGAAGACAGAGGCAGAATTCAGTCTCCAAAACGTTATGTTTTAAATAAAAACATGACAATGGATAATGTCCAGGAACACGATATTTTTATTAATGTACTATCATCACAAACTTTTAGATCTTATATATGTGTCAGCTTACTAATGTGCCTTAGCCACGAACAATTAAACTTATCTTATTATAAAGGTTTTTCTTTTATAGAGAAATGAGAATCAATAATGTGATGCTGCATGAATTGTTTTTGTGTGATCTTTGAAACTGTAGGATCATTGTTAAGCCGACACGTGAACTCTGTACGGGGAAATGGCACAGAGACATTCTTCTAGTAGTACAAATGATATCTACACTATTTTGTCTTTCAGAGCTCTAAAATGTACCACACCAATGCTTTCAATATTTCTTCAATTTTAATACAGAATACAGAAGATCCTGGTTGTGGTTGAGAAAATAACACATGATTAACATTTTTTATTTAAATATTTATTTATGGTTAATGGTTTAATCAGTACCTCAGACTTTATGGTGCTGAATCAATGCTTCAGATTATAGGAACTGAAAAAGACCACACTGTAATAGATGTAAACACTTTAGATATGTGGAGTAGTTTAGCAGTAGAACTAGTGACTTGTATCTGATGGTTAGTGGGTTTGAATCTTAGTTGAAACTGATAATCATAATTTACACTCTCATGGCATTTCCCTTAGTTATGCCAGTATTCTGCCTTGAAACAGGACATGAGTGATGTGTCTGTATTTACCATTCATGTCATAATCAAACTGGTGCTACAGACTGTGCAGATGACATAGTATCATTCAAAGCCTATATATCAAAATCACTGCCTTCTGGAGTGTGATATCATATAGCCTGGTAGTACATTATCAAGTTTTGGACAAACCTACTCTCTGAAGGTGGAGGCAGTAGAAACGTTGGTAACTTTAACACCAGAATACATGGCATTACATCCCAGTGATGTTCTTATCCACTGCTGTGCAAACCTCAAATAACTCTAACTACAACATAAATGTGAAACCATTTCCAGCACAGGTGATACAAACCTAACTTCTCAAGCAGATTTCTGCGTGCCTCTTGTGGCTCACTGACTGTCACCCTGCGATGACCCTGAAGGTGTAGAATACTGGCCCAGAGGTTGCCAATGATTCCTGCTCCAAGGATCAGGATCCTAGATCCTACAGCAATAGGAGTGATCCGGTCCCATCCGTGAGCAATACAGGACAGGGGTTCTGTGAGGCCAGCTGCACAACAGACCAGAAAATGATTAGTATTGGTCCTTTAGTGTATTCATTGCAGCACTGAAGGAGCTGAAAGGGAAATAGAGGTTTGGATTGTAATCTTCTGGGTTGTAACACCATGTAGTTTTGTATGCGGATGCTGTTGTTGTAGAAGAACATGCTGTCTCCATCTTCAGGGTCAAATTTAGCATGGTGAGGATGTGGTTAGGTTACATATGCAGGTTGCAAAGAAGGTGGTCAGCATTCTTATCGAGCTGCACAGGACTCTCCCTTCTCCTCCTGTGGATCTTAGTGATTATCTTCCTTGTAAATTGCTTGTATAACCTGACCATGTCCTTACTGTCCTGGATTCGACCCTAAAGATAGAAGCAACATGTTTTCCCGAAACACCGGTATCCACCTACAAAACTACACAATACCACAGCGATAAACCCATAAAATGAACAACTGCCACAGTGAAAATCTCAGAACTGAAGAAGTTGAGGTTGATGAAAATGTTTCATACTTTGGAAAAATGAGAATTATGGCTAATATTGTTGTTGGATAGTAGCATGAAAGGAATGGCTTGGGAGATGAAGACATAAATGGAAACATTATATCAAAATGGTTGGCATATCTACAGTACCTTGCTGAAGTGAGATGTTCTTGGGCAGTTTGTGCACCTGGTCAGCTGGTACCAAGCAGAATTCTGCCCAGCCTCCATCCTGGTATATCCCTGTGATCTTGTCAACACCACCATTACTGCAGTGGTGGTAATTACCACTGTGACATGCATCACATGTCAAGCACCCACTGCAATGGTAACATACATGCTTTATTTTGGATAACTTAATTGTTGTTAGGTAACGCTTGTGACCTCATGTCACTATATTCTTGTTTAATTCACTGCCATGCTTCTGAAATGGGATTTTACCCAGTGGACCAGCTGTTATTCAGGATAACTGCATTTTTAGCCTACCTGGTTGTCTTATGTGCCTGTGCCCCCCCATCCCAATTCCTGAAAGCTGGAATATAGTAGCCCTGTGTGTTTGCATGTGTATCCCCTTATAGTTGCTAGGCAGCAGCTCAGTAAACATGTTCCTGTGTCAACAAACACACACAATAATAGAGATACATGTTATTTTCTATATGGTCTATACCATATTGAAGGAAAGTACGAGTAGGTGATTAGTTCTTCTCAGAACTTCTTGTTATCTTACTACATTTAAAACATAAGTGGTTGAGAATGTGGAGAGTAATTGACAATTGGGGTACATTTTGACTCCCTTGAGCTCTGACAAGCTACACTTGGAGTCTTCCTATAT